TAAATATAAACACTTTCATTTATACCTTTATTGTTTTTAATTTTTATAGAATTTTATAATATGTCTCGAAAGCCAACACAAGTCTGGAGAACTTAGTTTACAATCATTATCTTTTGCAGCTCAGGCTCATGTCTATAAAATGGAATTTGTAGCCCGTATTGTATCAACAATAACACAAGTGAGTATTTACAAAATAATAACATTTTGGAAAAATTTATATTTATTTTAATATTTGTACTCAAATATTAGGAAAAGAAGAAAGGGGGTCAGACTTTATCAGTGTTACATGAAGAAATGACTCAGTGTTATATTGATGAATCGCTTAAAAAACTTTTGGCAGGCATGGTTGAAGTGTCAACTATTCCATTTTTCCAATCTTTAGAAAAATGGATTTTTAAAGGACAAGTATTTGACCCTTGTGATGAGGTATGATTTGCTGTTTTTATTTTATTGTTGATGCGTTTTAAAATTTGTGAGTTTTTTTCTGTTAGTTTATGATTAAATGTGGTAATCTAATATTAAGTGATGACACAGAGAAATATTGGAATAGATGTTACACTGTTAGGAATGAATATGTTCCATCTTACTTGGAAAAATTTAAAGAAATTATTTTACGAACTGGAAAATACTTAAATGCTCTTTATCATTGTAGTAAGTAATTAATAAATGATTATATTACCAACATAATAAAATTAATTATATTTATTTTGGATGCATCATAGACATTCCAAATAAATCAAATTTGATTTACACTTCAACTAATAATGAAAAGCTAATATATTCCATGTGGTGTTCTGATTCAACAAACTATCTCAAAACCATTAATGATGCTTATATGTTTGCAAGTAGTAGTCTGTTAAATGTACTACTAATTGATTATGATCTTATGAACAGATTAAAGTAAATAATTTATTTAAAAAATAATACTGTTACTGAAAAAAAAAAATTTTTMAGATCAATTAAACGCTATTTTCTATTAGAACAAGGTGATTTTGTAGTACATCTTTTGGATGTATGTGATGAAGAATTGAAAAAACCAACTGATGACATTGTCTACAACCGATTAGAATCATTGTTAGATATTTGTTTACGAGTAAATGTCGGATGTGTAGACCAGTACAAAGACGACATAAAAATGGAATTAAAAAAAGATCCATTGAGTTTTCAAATTTTCCAAATACTAGCTATTCAAACTGAAAAAGAAAAAGGTAAAAACAAAACATTAATTAATCATCTAAATAATATTATATTGATCAATGTTGGTTTCAAATAGTAACTGATCACAAATATTATTCAAATTAAAACTTAAATCTTAAACATATCAGTAATTCATATACTGACATTTTTTACTTCTAAACYCTAAATGAAAAAATTATTTGTTTGTAGAAAAGTTGTGCTTATAAAATAGTTCTCTTTAATTTTTAGTTTAAGTAAAAATATAAAACCGAGTATTAAAAATTACTGTCATAGTTTTCAAAAATATTATTTAGAAAAGAATTCATTGTTGAACACAAACATAGTTGTGGCTGAGTAGTTTGCATTATATTAAATTTATAATTATTAATTAAAAATAAAATAGTAATATTCAATGGCGGCTTGAACTTTTTTTCCCTCGAATCACGTTTAATATTTTTCACCACCCACCCTCAAATATAGTTATTACTTATTACTGTACATTATCTGCAGAGTACACATTACGGCTATATATTATTTTTATATACATTTATTATTTATAATTTGATACTTAAATTACCAACCTGCAAAAATGGTCCAGTTTACCTTTTCCAACCATAAGACCCACCCACCCATTAATATTTTTGTGAATTACATGATTCAAATATACTCCCTTCGAGCCGCTACTGGTAATATTACACTATTATAGTATAAATTTTTTTTTTTGTAAGGGGAAGCCGCGGCAACATAGGTAATTGGGTGTAGGGTGGTATGGTAGGGGTTATTTTTGTGTATTTGTTTGTAGGTTTTTAAGTAGGTAGGAATCGTAACACGTGTTTGTGTATGTGTGGCAAGGATATGTTGCGAAAAATCCCGGGTGGTCACCCATTTGGGAACTAGCAACTGAGGCCAGTACATAATAGGCTCAGTGCGTTTCCGCAGATTGAGCATACGACCGCGCCTCACCAATCCACATAGTATAAATTTATTTGTATTTGTGTTTTGAATAGATTATACAAACTTTCAACCATCTTCAAATTTATTGGGAATACAATCATTTTGCTTGGGATTAACAACACAATGGCCAGTTTCTCTAATATTTAATGAAACCGTAATCTCAAATTATCAAATATTGTTTAGATTGTTATTATTATGCAAAAATGTTGAACGTCAACTACTTAAGTAAGTGAATTTTTTTAATATTTAAAGGAAAATATTGTTTTCATATTATTAAGGGTTATCTGATTGACTGAACTAAGAAATTAATTCTTTTAATATATTTTTATCAAATTTTTTAATCAAAAAATAAATGAAATTTGTTTTTATTACTGATTTATGATGAAAAATGTCATCATTTTAATGTTATATTTTGTTATTTTATTCTCAATTTTTGATTATTGATAATTTACTCAACAAACTGGAGACAATTATTTACTATATGATTAATAACAAGTTTGAACTTATTTTTTCAGTTTTGAATTTATTTTTTAAAGAAAATCAATAAGAAATTGAATGTATGTTTTGTGTATAGAAAATGTTTGTTTAAAAATTACGTTTATATATATTCTTTATTATTTATTTAAGAAAAAGTCGCCATTATTGCCAGATAATGTATATATATATATTGAATTAGCTGAACACTATAAGATTTTTATATTTTATTCCTTACCAAAAAAATGTTCAAATAATATGATGTGCAATTTGCTATTTCTCTGCAACGTAATTTATGAAGAATAAATTGTATCCCCAAGAATTTTTAATTTTTTTTTGTATATAAAACAGAGGCTACTACATTGTTTCCCTTAATTTCTTATTTAAATTATATGTATTTTTTCATTATTGCATATGCTGAGATGGAAAATCTTAGATTTGCAGCCATTAAACCTAAATTCTTATTAATTAATAATTTTAAATTGTTACAGAGTTTGGCTATGTGATAAACATTTAAAAAAGATACCTAACTCTTCAGCAATAACTTACAAAAAGGCTTTTAATTTAAGGCAAAACATGTTGTTATTTGTTCAAAACCTTGAATATTATATGTTTGAAGAAGTAATTGAGACACAGTGGCAAGCATTCACATCTGCTATTCAATACAAAGTACTTGCTCTGCGCTTCTAAAATTGTTGAAATTATATTATTAATGTTATGTTTACTTAAGGTGAAAAATGTTGATGAGCTATTAGATGAACAACAAAAATTTTTAAACCTTTGTTTAAAAAATTGCATGGTCACCAATCCAGATTTAATGAAAAGTAGCCGATATTTATTAGAGTTATGTACAGAGTTCAGTGATTATATTTTAGTAAGTCAAATTACATTTTAATTAACTTAGTCTTATTATATCCTACCTAGGAAACTTATTTATAAATTAATTTTTTAAGTGACCGAGTCTGTTATTTATTCAAGACTATTTAGTCGTTTCCCAAGTTAGATATAGGACTATAGGAAACTTTGCAATGTTATACCATATACATCCATGTTAAATAAAATATATATAAACAAATAAGTTGCAAACCACAAAAGCAAAAAAGTTTAGTTCTCATTTAGCTAAGTTGTAACAATGGGAAGCCAATACAAGACTGTTTAGTATGCTGAATGATGGCAGAAATAAACTTTTCTAAATAGCTTGATCCATACAAAATATACAACATAAATGTGCATAGTATTTATAGTTTTATCATCAATTATTTTTATATGTATTATATAAATTATTAATACTGTTCTGAATGAGCTCAGTATTTTCATTTAAAAAGATTAATTAATATTTTTTCAATTTCTTATAACTATTTATTCATACATTTAAATATATTTTTAAGCTAACATTTTATTAAATTTAATAATTAACTAACAATTTTATAATTCATAAAAATTGCTTGAATAAAAAATGTATCTCAGCACTACTATTTAAAAAACAAAAAACTTTTACATATATTTGTAATTATTTGTTTTAAATATTGTTATAATGTTATATCAAGTCTATTAATGTAAATTAAAATGTTGTTAAATATGAATTAATTTTATTTAAGAATCTTAACACTTATTGTTATTCGTAAAATTCTTTAACTCTGATAAATTTGTACTAAAATCATCTTGCATTTATTTTTTGTACTTAAATTTAGATTGGTGTTTTATGTTAATAATTGTATTAAACATGTCTAAAATCTAAAAGATTAATTTATACTATTTCAGTTAACCAAAAGTCATCTTAATCACCTGAAACTGGATTTTGAAAAAAATATACAAATATTAGAAAACAAGTTTACAGCTGCAATGATTGACCTTTTAAAATGTATAAGAAAAATGAGTCGTTTAGACAGCGGTAATATTATATACAATTTTTTGTACAGGTAAGAAAATAAAATACAAAATTTAACTTATGACAAGGCCTATAAAAAAAAAGGTTATAAAATATAGTTAACAACAATGTACTAACATTAATATGTCCTTTTATGTTTAGGATGGACTTTAATGGAATGTACACTGAGCAAATAAATATGGATGATACAATATTATATACATGAACATTTATTTTTTTTTTTTTTAATATACCTAATGTACATATATTACTTTTTTTACATTAATCACAAGGTCTATCCTCAATAATTATAATACTACTTGTTTGATGTAATACTAATTATATAAATAAAAACAAAAATAATATTATTCATGGATAGTGAATTTTAGATATTAATGACTGTATCAAAAATCTTAATAGTATTGTACTATATTAGTACGCATTAATGTATTTACTCTATTCATTTTTATCTGAAATGTAATATTTTAATTAGTACAAATAAAATATCACTCATACTAAATTAACTTACTGCTGTATGTTATTTAATTATGACTCATATTATCTTTATTCGATTTTGTATTCAATGTTGAAAAGAATTGTTGCTGAAATAATTTGTATTTAGACATTAATTTAGTTTATCAAAATTAAGTACTTAGAAATGTGCCAATAATAAATCAACTTACATCAGACATTTGAGAATTAGTTTGTATTAAACCATAATGTGGTATACCATGTTTTCTGCAAAAGCGATCAATTAAAAAAACAAACTCCCTAAGTCTAAGAACAATAATTAATTACTGAAAACTTTCTGAAGTTGACCGCGAATTTGGTTCTTTGGTTTTCACCATATGCTTAAGGAACTCATCTTGGAAACCAATACTCATTTTTGGTATGCCTATTGTTGTCCCATGTGTTGATTTGCTCATTGTTGTACTGCTTGACTAAAAAAATAATACCCAATCTTTACTTAAACCAATAATACTTTTAAATCTTGCAAGTCGATCAATACATACTGTACTATAGGAATTCCTATAAGCTGGATGATGGATGACTCCTAAAGGTGAGCTAACCAGTGTGTCTCGTGAATGAGAGGAATAGATCGATGAATGTTTTTTATACGTATTATCTTTTTTGGTTTGTGATGAACAAGATAACTGATTCAACACTAACAAGTCTCTAATGACTTCTTGTGCTTCCATCTCTGCAAGTTCATCACTGGAAGCTCGATGACTTGATGGAGTTCTAGATGCTATGTTTCGGTCACCATGTGGCCAATCTGGATATTCATTTTTGATTTCTTGTTTGGCTATGACTGAGGTTGGCAATTTAGTCTCATCTTTCTGAACACCAAAATATGATAATTTAATATTGAAATAATGCTAAGCAAAATGAACAATTGTCCACATACAATTTTATAGAAATTATTAGTAGTAAATTGAGTAGGTAATGGTGATGTATTGTCCTTTAAAGATTCATTAATGATTTGACTTAACATATCCGTAGCCGTTGACTTTTCATCAACTTTTATACAGTCTAATTTATTTGATGATGAAATAGAATTGTCATCCTTAATTAACAAATACAAAACAACAATCAATAATTTAGTTTACTTAACATATAATATACAATGTGTATGCAAACCAACTTTTGGTTTAATGCTCTGTCGTTCAACAGTAAAACTATTAGTTGATAACTTTTGCTGGTCAGGTATAGGTTTATTATTCAATTCCTGAAGCAATCTTTGCTTTCGCGAAATTGGCTGATGAACCATGTGCTTTGGACTAATTTGCAAATCCTGCAAATATGTTCAAAATATTGACCAAACCTAATTTCTGTTAATACTAAGAGGAGTAGGAGAATACCTAAAATAGTAATAAATCCTTTCACACTTAAGACTAAAATAAACTTATTTATGATAAAAAGAAGTTATATATAAAAATAAATCTATCTCAATGTTATGTGTTGTCTGTTTAATTGTTAATGTTACTTTATTCATGAATTTGAAAAGTTACTTTAAAATAAAAAAGAACAGTCATATTATTTGAATTTCTGTCTTAATAGTTATACCCATGAGCAAATTCTTATACTATTCAAACATTTTATAAGCCAATTTATTCCCATCTGAAATTTCTCCTGTGAATGCAATATATAATACCACAGATAAGAAATAGCTTAGGGCAGGGATTCTCAAAAACTGTGGAACACGTATCTGTTGGATGTACTTGACATTTTTTTAAGGGTACGGTTAAAGTTAAAAATGTATGTCTATAAACTGTTTTATGTATATTTGAATTTAATTACTAAGAAGGGGTACCCAAAAAAATGTATTTATAAAATGGGGTACAGTGTTCATAAAAGTTTAAGAATCCCGGGCTTCAAGAAAATGTTTATAAATGCATTAACATCACACCACTTATAGTTGTCAAATTTAAAGAACAATTTAGTATAGAAATAATAGTAGATGAGCGAATTTAAATTATCAATGAAAATATCATTCATTGGCATAACTATAATTCAAACAAAACCTGGATTCTGAAAACCATTTCTGTTGAAATGTTAGATAAAACCATCCGCACCCATGTCGTTAATATAACATAATTATTTATTAGTTATTAATCATTAAGCAATAAACAAAAACCATGTGTTATGTGTAAAATTTATAACTAATCTAAGTCAATATACTATAACAGGGGTGGCCAATTTACAGCTTGCGTCTTATTAAAAAAAAAAACTTATTTAATTATTAACGATGACATTATAAAAATAATTTTAAAAAATGTTGGCTCCTGATATCATTGTATATATCCATGTGGCTCTTGGACGTATTCATAATGGCCACCCCTGTACTATTAATATACTTCATAAAAGTACCAATCATCAAAACCTTCACTTCAATTTACCTCAATTATATTAACTATGGACATTTGATTTAATAACATCATCGGAAATTAAATCAGTAAAGTTAACTATAATTAAACATAATTTTAAATTTGATAATATTTGTTTATTTATGTATTAAACTGAATTATATTTATTATAATTATAATTAATTATTATAATATATAATTATTATATAAGCTTTATAATAATTGCTATTTATATTATATAATATTTGCTTTCAACCTTTTCTGCAATAGGTAACTTTAGGTGGTAAATTTCAAGATTTTACTTATATTTGAATTAATTGTTGTCAAGAGGAGTATTGTTACAAACATTTTCTAAAATGATTTACATTTTACTAAGGAATTTTTTTTTTTTTTTAAATATCAACTGAATAATAATATTATATATTAGGGATGGGACTATTAATGGGACTATTAATAATGTTGAAGCTAAATGTAACTTAATTTATGACACTTATAGTAATAGGTGGTGGATATATTTAAAATACATTGTTTTCTAATTATAATTAATAAGCTGAACCAATCAGCCTTATTCAAAATAGGCAAAATTTTTGTTAATTGATTTCATATAAATATTGATTTTTATTCAATAAATTATATTAAATGTGTAGCAAATTTTTTTTTTTTTTAATGGAGTAAAAGTTGCATACATCAAATTATTTTGATAAGGACTAAATTAAATAAATTTATTCAACCTACTTTTTTTTTTTAACAAAACCTTTAGTTGCCTCTATTTAAATTATCCTTAAGAGGACACTACACACCCGCATGTGTTGCATTCATCTCATAAGTATGTAATATAGCAAAATTTACATTAGCAGATCACATTTAACTACGTCAGTTTAAAATTTAGAATGAATTGACCTCTCATAAAAATTAAAGGTAACATTATTATCGAGGGTTTCTTATAGTATATCTTAAGATATACAAATGACAATTTTAAAATACTCATAACTCGCTTTAAAATTAAAATATAATAAAAAAGCCTATAAGAAGCCCTCGATAATAATGTTACTTTTAATTTGTATAAGAGGTAAATTTACTCTAAATTTTAAACTAACAGAGTTTAAACGTGATCTGCTGAGCGTAAAATTTGGTATGTTACACACTTGTAAGACGGAGATAACACATGCGGTTGTAGCATTCTCTTAAAGCAATTGTACATTTCCTCTCACCTAATCTACACTACTATTGTGTTTGCTCTGACAGCAAAAAACCCATTATTTAGTGATATAAAAACAATAAATAATATGTAAACCAAAATACACAACGATATAAGAAAACACTAAGTAACTTTATTTAAATGTTAATTGTTTCTTTTAATTTTACTTAATAGACTCAAATAAATGTTTTGATAATTTAAGTAACTTAGATTTTCGTGTCACTATTTTCATTACAATTAACATAATATAATAAGTAATTACAGATTAAATCAATCTTTCATTTTTACAATCATGGGTTATAAATACAAAATTAGAATCACCAAAAAACTGTTCAAAATATATGAATATTTACATAATACAGGATATTAATAACAAACCAATAACACCTTGAAGTGCAAAACCAAGTGAATTAAAACTGTAAGTTACTATGTGACTAGATATAGCCTGTTACATGCATAAAACAGAATATAATAAATAAGTGTGAAAAAAGGAAAATAACTATAGCCAATGTGTACATTAATATATTAATAGTTTTGTAAATTGATCAAACGCATTCATAAAACAAAAATGTAATACTATTGATTAATTTAAAATGTATAAAATTAATTGTAGTTTGAACATATTTTATTAAGCCATAACAAATGTAGTATCAAAAAAATAAATATATATATATATAAAAAAAAAAAAAAAAAAAAAAAAATAGTAACTTTATTTAAAATAATATTTTTGTTTTGGTGGATAGATAGCTAAACATATTCAAACATTATTCATTCTTACCGTTTTTGAAGGGCTGTTATTATCTCGTGAGGAATTATTGCAAATAACAGTTACATCTTTTAATTTGCTATAAGCAAATGGCATTGTACTAGATTTATTTGGCGATAAATCTAATATATCCCCACTAGGTGCTTCTGTTTTTACAATAACACTGTTATTTTCAGATTCTTTTTGTTTATTGCCATTAATTGCCGTAGTCGTTATGGTAGCTTGATAAGGACATGTATCATTACTTATAGTACTGATGGCCACAGTGTGAGGAGGACTATAAAATTGCTTTAAAGCAGATGTTGTAGACGGTGTTGGAGATGGAGTTTGACTAGTAGATTTAGTGGTTGATTTAGTATTAAGATCGGATATTTTTGAAGATTTATGCTTATTCCACTTATGCAACTTTTTCATGGCAGAATTAGATACTTTATGTTCAGAAGCCAGTTTAATAGCACTTAGTAATTTAATTGGACTATTTTGTAATGGTTGTTTTTTTGTTAATTTAGGTCTGCAAAAAAATGATTTTTTTTCAAATATAATTCAAAACTCTAAAATAAATGTTATAAACAGATACAATTATATTAACTAAAGTATGAATAAAAAAATAAAACAATACCTAGAATCCTTTTCTTTTACTTTAAGTTCTTTTACAATATTGGCAGATTTCATCCATCCAACTGGCCATAATGGTTTGATTTGATTATTTAAAAATTCTTGTATAAACATATCTATTGAGTGGGATCTTCTGATTTTGGAATAGGTCGTTTTTCGGATATTAATAATTTCCCGTACTAATGTTCTGAAAAAATAAAATTTGATAATTTGTAACAGTGTAAACTATAAACTAACTGCTCTTAATGTGTATGTATTTATTTATTTATCTAACATTAATAAAATCAAAAAATATTAACTTGAAGATTTAGGTTTTTAAATACATTTTTTTTTTTTAAATATATTATTATGCTGACAGCTGTCATACATTTCTAAATCTATGTAATTTTTTAGGCGCTATAATAATATAAATTACACATTAGTGTCTAATCAAAAATAATGGTTTTAAGAATACCTTACCAGTAAACATAACTATCTACTTATAAACTCTTAAGCAGCTTTATAAAATCACAATGTGTTAAATATGCAAGGTATTAAAAATGATTATCAGACATTTATAGATTATTATTAGCGTTAAAGAATTTTTTTTCAACATCTATAATTTTTTTTTTTTAATTTTATCAAAAATGACTGAATAATGTCTCAAACATTGATATTGTAGAGCAACAAAACTTAAAATATTAGATTATACCTAAACTCGTCATTCCAAGGAAATTTACGACGTGGTCGTTTAGGCCCAGGTTTTGATTTAAATCTATCATTAGAAGTACCATTAACAGTCCTGAAAAAAAAAATGATAAAAACAACTTTAAAATATTATACATAATTTATAATGTATATGCATTATTATAAATATAGAGAATAATTTAAAAAATGAAAAAATTATGTTTAGTACTCCATACCAAACTTAAAAATAGTTATTACTTTATTTTCCATATTCAGCTCCATATATTATGATCCTGACATGTACAAAGTAAGATTTGAACCCAGAACACACCACTCTTTAAAAATTATATAAATACATTTTTTTGATAGTAACTTTTAGAGGTGAATTATAATTTTTTTATGAATAATGTACTATTAATATCATTGCAAAACTGAATAATAAACGGTAAAGAATAACAATGTAAAATTAAGCTCATTAACTAAATTTGAATGAAAACCACAGTGACCAGTTTGGATAGATGTTGTAAAAAATATATAAAAATAACTAAGCTAATAGTTTTCTCAAGGTTCTAAATTAAAAACAAAATATTTTTATTATTTAAATAGTATTTGAAAGGCTAGGGCATGAAGTGAGCTATTTAATTCAGTTGTAAGAAAGGGCGGCATTTTCCACAAAATTGAAATTACATTCATACTATAACTATTATTTGTCTTACTTCTACGTCTTATCTAATATAGTTACTATCATAACTAAATCATTATGATTCATAACAGTTATTTGCTTTGCCTTTAATTAATAATATATACTTAGAAATATTGGGTTAAATGATATATATATTTTATTTTATCAACTTTGATTATTCAATAGAAAACATGAAAAAACTAATCATTAGCACTGACTGATGTAAAAAATTTGTAAATTAAAATCTTTAAATGTCTATGCATGGGTTCTTAGTTTGATAGAACCCAGTTTAAATAGTCTGCGGATAACAGTAATTAATAATAACTTCTTGTTGTTCTAGGAGTCTAGAACTGTTCATTGAACGGTAGAAGTAACCCACCTACAAGCTAAAATTTGATGTTAGGCAAAACATATAATATCTTCATCTATATTAATCAAAAATTGGAATAATTATTTTGATAGCTGTACCCCCCGAGAAAAATTAAATATTTACTATCCGTTAATATGAAAATTTAATTTTTCAACACATCAATGAACATTAAAAATAAATTATTTAACACAATAGAATTTTTCAAAACAATAAAAATAATAAATCTTCTGTATGCTACGACTAAAATATTTTTAAATTATTTAAGATAAATACCATATTTATTATTATATAATTGTATTTAAATAAAAATGTATCGCTAGTGGCCTGTGTTGTCGAAGCGGAAATTTATTAATGTAAATTTCAAGATCAATAAAAAAAAAAATTTAATTATTAGCACAGGTGAGGATATTTCTTTTTCTTACTTCTATTAAAATATAATATTTAATTATTATTCCAATTGATTAACAATAAAATCACTACCTATACTTAGTCCTGTTTCACATGGGCGCATATCATACACGAGTACACGACATATAATATGCGCGCAATTTTATTTTAAATTAAGTTCATACGCGTCACTTTGATGATGACATGTATGAACTAAATCAATGTAACTGAAAACGCTTGGATGCAATATGCGTCTATGTGAAACAGCCTTTAGTTAAAACTTGAAATATTTTATATTTACATACCTCTGATCTAAAATTTTATTACATTCCAGATCATATTGTTCTATAACTGACGGAAATATTTTTTCAATTGCGTTCTTTAACCTAAACATGTGAAATTGAATTATAAACAGCATAATCTTAAATAATTTTAGAAATATATAATTATTCTTTTAAAATGTTTACCTTTCAATCGGTTCAGAAATTTTTTCTTCCTCAAGATTGACCAACTTATTTACTTGTTTAACAAGCTTTTCTTTGTCACATAACATATACTCAGCTAATGTTGCATAAACAGGTTGTGCATTAAATGTGATTAATTCCTTTTGATATTCAAGACTAAAAGATATAAATAAAAAAAATTTAATAACAATATCTAAATATATTAAAAACCTATAATGTAATCATCAAACTATAATAATTGCATACTGAAAGTTCTAAATTAAAAAAAAAAAACCTATAATAATTATAATTGTTATTAAATAAGCTTATAAGTAAGTTAAGACATTTTTAAAAATTAAAAAAACAACTAAATAAATAAAAGTCTACACATAGTCATCATATTATACATCACAGATAAAGTTTTAAGCAGTTATCATTTAAAATAAAACACTCACATGTCTTATTAACATAGAACACTGTATGTTTAGAATAATTCATTTACAATTTAAAAATGTTCATAACATGCTTTATAGTTAATCAAATAAAGATAATTAACTAAATGCATATCAAATAAAATCATTTGAAAATGTTGACGTTATATAAAAAAAAAATATTATTAATTTAATAATATAGTGTTATTCTATTGTAATTTAAAAATTTAAGATGTACAAAAACATTTTTTCGATCGTAAGTAACATGTCAGTTGTTACTTGTTAATGATATTTATGCACTGCAATTGTATAATGTAGTATTGAATACATTTTTGTACACTATTTACTTAAAATCAAATGAAGAAAAATATTAAAATATTAAAATTTTACAAAAAAAAAAAAAAAAATAGTTAAAGATATTAATAAAGCCATTGATTTTATAATATACAGCTAAGCCATGACATAAGAATATTCGGTGATTAAAATTCTTATGCTATGGCTTATTTGTATATTGTGAAACCTATGCTAATACTAGGTGTTATAACTTATAAATGACAAGAGTATAGCAAACACATTTATAGTTTATATAGCTGAGTTGGATAATTCTACATAGTCTAACCATAACACTTAAAACTTCACCAAAAACACTAAATACTGTTTAAGTTTCAATTCGCCTCAAATAATAGCTTAATAGCTTAATTTTTTCATTAAAATTGGTATAATCTGACACTTTTATTTTAATGAATAATGTACATAAATAAGTCAATAGTAAGTTGGAGTTAATTATACAACCAAAAAAATCAAGATTCAAGATCGTTCAAATAAAAAGAATAAAATACATCATACCTTAATAGATCTAAATTTATTTCTTCTGAAAAAATGTTTAAATTATTTTGGATTGCTATTTGAGCTTCAGTCTTAATTGATTCAATAATTTCCACTATTATTTCAGGAAGTTCTTCTGCTGTATTATGAACACCATTGGATACTGGTTTATCAATACTGATTGGAGGATTTATTACAATCTGAGTACTTTTAACAATATCATTCTCTGAACTCACTGAAATTGACAACATTTAAATTATTTAATTGTTTAAGTAGTTGATATCTATATTATATACTAACATGATACATTAGGAGGTTTTGAACAACCTGCATATATCACAGATTCAATTGTATCATTAATAGAACTAACATTATTTTCTGTTACAGGTGCTTCATCAGAAGATAAGGGTTCAGTATCTTTTGAACAACCTAAGTAATAATTAAGTTTTTCATAGTTATTGTAACTTATTTTGAAACAGTCTAGTTATTCTAGTCTAACCATTACAATATACCATAAATCATAATATAACTACTAATAATTATCAAACAATTTAACAAACACAATATTTTACTTAATTTAATACACAAACTTTTTTTTTTTTTAATGAATATTTATAATATTGGAGTTTATCAAAATTGTAAACAAACAATCTGATATCAACTAACTAGGTATATATTCTAGTTGAAAAAAAATAATCAGTAGCAAATGTAATATGATAATGACATGATGTTAGGCAACAGAAATATAATATTTTTAAATATCTAAAGGCTATAAAAATCAAAATACTTGGCTTGCACTCTGGTATCAGAACTTTTTTTTCTTGTATCAATGATTTAACTGTACTAGTCTTCTTTTTTTTAGTTGGAATAATAGAATTGGCACTATCAGGATCAACTGACTGTTTTCGTTTGACTTTGCCATTTACTGGAAGTGTTGGTGTACATAAAGGTTTTAAAGATTCTTTTTCTTCGTCAGAACAAGATGAATTATCAGAAGTTTCAGAAGTCTTCAAAACATAATATTGAAATATTTAGATAAATTTTCACAATAATTAGTTGTTTAAAATACCTTAGATTCAGTTAGTGAATTTTTTTCTGAATTATTTGAAACAGCAAAATTTGGCAATTTTTCGTCACTATCTTCTAATACAGTGTTTACAAAACGCTATGAATGTAAAAACAAAATTAATAATTATTAATCAAAACATAAAATTTTTAATGAATAACATAACAATGATAACAATTTACAAGCGTATAATACACAATACCTTGCGAGGTTGACTAGATTTTATTTCTTCAGAATCTTCACACAAATAAACATTCTTAAATTCTAAAGAACCAGAATTTACGTAATAACCACCATGTTTTGTTTCAACTTCTTTTGGCATGACTTCATCACACTATAATTAAAGATAAATAATATAATTAATAAATTATTAAAGTAGATTTTAAATAATACTTTAATTTTATATAATGTATAATTTAATAAAACTATATATTAATTGTAAAATAACAATCTGAAAGATGTATAATTATCAGTTATTCAATATACATTAAATCTAATTATTAATATTTTTCCAACCAAATGTGATAGAACTAATAAATATACCTAATACTATGTTTAGTTATAATTTACATTATACTTACAATTTCAGTATTATCAATGAATGAATCATTTTCATCATAACCAGCAGCAAGTTCAGAATAGTTGTAGAAGGCAGTTTTTTTCTTTTTTTTTTTCTTAACACCAGTATTTCCCTTTTAAAGACAAATTAAGCATAATTATCAGAAAATACTTTAGTTGTAAAATTATAATGAATTATGATTTATGAATTAGGTAGACCCAAAATCAATAATTATACACAAGTATAATAATTATCATTACATTAAATCAGTGGTGTATTTATGAATTACTTTCATTGAAGTCTACATAATTTTCATACAACACAGATATGAGATACAATTTAGTAATATTTAAAATCTTGTAAAAATAAATGAGTATATCTTTATAGTAAATTGCAAAGAAAGGGGTCTATGGACCCGGCGATCAATAAATACACCACTGCTTGATATAAATTATTTCAAGATCAAATAAGAATTATTAAAGTTTGATGTGTGTGTAATGAAATTATAATCAAAATTAAATTAAAAATGCATATTTTCCTTTAAAAAAAAAAAAAAAATGACACAAAATGTCATTCTAAAATTTTGTTTACATTCAGATCACATGTAGCTTTGTTAGTTTCCAAGTTAGAATGAATCGACCTCTAATGAAACTTGATGAAAAGAACATTATCTGTGTTTAGTTATGAGCATTTTTCAAATTATTAGGAAGTTTTGCTAGTGTAAAATAAATTAGAATGTTCATAACTCACTTTAAAACTGAACTATAAGAAAACCACATACATACAAACTCAGATAATATTCATGCTATAAGTTTCATAAGATGTTGATCCACTCTAATTTTTAAACTAACAAAGGTAGGTTACACATAATCTACTGATGGTAAATATGGTATGTTACACACTTGTGAGACAAAGAAAACAAATGCAAGTGTTATGTCCTCTTATAATGTAACTAATATAGACTAAATAAAGTGGATAAAATAATTTTATGACTTTTATGGCTTTGATTAATTTTTTTGTATAAACAGTTAGTTTATATACCTGTTTTGTATAAAATAGTAATTATTTTAAATATAACTAATCTTTATTTACTGATTAATTCACTGAAATAATTTTAAATTTAACAAAATATACAATTAAGAGAACTTACATATTTTTGATCATAATGGTCTGCCAATTGTTTTAAAGATTCGTCATTTTCTTCAAGGGTATTGGAATGCTGATCTCTTCTTCGACGTTTTTTCTGTAATAAATATTAACAAAAAACTAAATATATACATTATTTAAAATGAACAAGCAAAATATTTTTTTATACTTTATAATACAAGAGGAGACTTTATTATTATGCTTAAATCATGTATATTTTACAGTTCTGATTTTTGGAATTTTTAAATATTAAACATTAAGATAATATTTTTAAATACTTGAAATTGTTTGTACCATTTAAGAAACATCCTATGAATTAGGATAATACAAACTGCTATTTTTAAAATTAAGACCACCTTTTTCAATTTTAATTCAGCAGGTATCATGTTTTGAGAATTTTGATGTATTTAAATCAATTATTTTTGGAAAGGTACCTAGAAAGATAAATTGAATATAAGAGAATTTACTTATTTTTATTAATTAATATTAATTCATTATTTATAAATCTGATATGTAATAGAAAATGTAATTGAATTGACACAATTAAATTCATTGAAATATATAAGTACCTACTAAAATCAATATTTTTCTTAAATTCAGTTAATACATGTAGTGTTTTAGATTTATTTTATAATAACTAATACATTTAGCAAGATTATAATCAAAATTTTATTTTATTTTAAATTACTAGGTAATACAATTAAAAAATTATTAATATTTTTATGAAGAAGTAGTATTCAGCCCTTACTGAATTCCAATAAACTTTACTCCTGCTATTTGTACTAAGAATTTAATAAAAATAATTTGTTTCACATTTGCATGCGACTAAAAGTAGCAAATACAAAATATTGAAAGTCTACGATAAACCTAGATGATTTATGAAAAAAATTAGAATCATTCACAAAATAGAACTTTACTTTTTTTAATAAATTTTAAATGAAAAATGAAATAACCATTTCTCACCATACGGTACCAAAGTGAATATATTATTATACCAACCTAGACCACTACTGAATCATTTAATGATTAGATGTCATTATTTATTACCTGAATAAGTCGCMATACTGAGAGTAAAAATGTATACTAACAAATAATAATATTATGAAAACACATTATATTATAGGTACATATATACAGTATACTTGAATAAATACCCAAATCCCACACTTAAATTACTTTTATGTAATTGGGTATTATTATATATATTTTTATTTTTAAATATGATTAAAAATATTACATTTTATTTAATATTAAAAGTATTTATTGTAAATTATTAATAAGAAAATAAATAAACTAGATATCTTATAAAAAGTTTAAAAAAGATAAATATTTAAATTAATGAGGTATTTTTTTTTCAATACATCAGAATTGCAAGAATAGAATATTAAAAAAAAAAATTAAAATTAAATCAAAAAATCTGTCCAACTATAAATTAGTGAAGTACATAATCAATGAAATAAGTACATAGAAAGAAAAACAGTATATCATTAATATGAAAATATAATTTATACAATTATACTTTATTTTGAATAATTATTTTTATATACTTATATTAAGAATGAAGAGAATTTATTTAAAAGTTTAATTGTAGGTAATTATTTGTGCAATTAATAATAAGTCCAATATCATGGAAGAATTTACAGACTCAAATCTAAGAAACAACCAAATAATGTTAGAACATTTTGTAAAATGTACAGTTTGAATATTAATTATTTGTTAGTTACTTGGAATTAATAATATTGTTCAATTGAACACCTCATAAATTTGCTAAAAAAATCTAGATAAGTTTTACAAATGTCAATTTACACAGAGTGGGTAAAATTTTGGAATATGATAATTTACATTACACCTTTCATGGAAATCCTCTTTTCACTCTTAAATGAGTATATCCAATTGTCTATTTCCCATTCAGAAATAATCTGAGAACCTAGAAAGAAGGAAGCGGTAATGTCAATTCATCAGAAAAATGGGATCCACTGATGGCCATTTATATTTATATTGCTCGGGTTTATCCTAATTTATATTTAATAAATGTACATTCTTAGTAAGTACCTACTGCGGTACCTACCTAAATACTTACAAGCAAAAACATATTTAAAAAAAAAAAAAAACAGGATGTGGAAAAATTTTATACATAGATCATCATTATAAACAACAGTAGTTTTTATCTGATAGTTCATTTTTCAACGATAAGAAAAAACTTTAAAATAATTTATATTATATAATTAGGTAATAGGTATAGAATATACTATTCAAATAACCAAAATCTCACTGTGCTTACATAGTTCAAAATTAATTAATATAAAAATAATACCTTCCAAAAACATATCAATAAGTACTTAAAAAGAAATTTAATATATTAAAAATAAATAAAATATTTTGAGTGGTACTTCGATTTGTGGATTTTACTGATCAATAAAATTTAAAAAATAAACGGCTAGTTGAAAAAAATAAAAATTATCTCGGCTACCACATAAATTTCACTACTTTTACAAAGAATTATTTGACAATGAAATGTGGATTTGAGAACGGCGAGTCAAACACGAAGAGATACACACACATCAAGTCGTACCGATCAAAAAGTCGATCGATGTGTACACAACGAGAAAGTCAGGATGTCATGGGGATCATCGTCATCAATCGGGAAGACGCGACGACGCTTCACAGTTATCGTGACGACTGACAATAGTAGCCCCAAAAAGCCATATTTTGTCAAATTCGAGAACCGCGAACCTAAGAAAAACTCTGATGATAGATCGGTGATATCGACGATTGTACTTACGGATCACGTAGATACGCGCCATGATTTATAATTATTGTGACAATGAAATAATAAATAAGTTTACACTTCAATATTACTATATATTGAAATTTGCAATACATACTTACGCGGGTGGTAGTGCGTGTACTCACGCGCGCGCGTGTGTGTGTGTATATATATGTGTGTAAAATATATATGCGTGCATTGCTACATATACAGTCTCGACTTCGTTGCACTTACCTCTTCGATGAGTAATTTCTGATAATTGAACACAGGATATCTGTTGTCAGTGGGTTCGAACAATTCCGCTTGTACCCGGACGGTGGGCGAATGCTGAGGATTGGATTTAGTTTCCGATTTTTTTTCAACAGTAAACGTATTTGACATTATAATCAGACAGACGGATGCACAATAATAACAACATCGACGGTCGGCCAACGTTAAACGGACAGCACATGTTTCACGAACGCGCAGAACTACCATACATGATCGGCGACAATCACAAACTGAAAACGGGAATAGGTACGGACACGGAGCAACGGTATGAACCGTAACCAGTGACACCAAATGTCCAGTCCGAGTTCTGTGGTCCAACCGACCACACGACCCCGCGCTTTTGTAATTTTTCAAACCTTTAAATGAACGGGGCACATTCTATAATAATATATTACGTTATAGATGTAAAATACTATAATATTATACTCGTTCAAACTTATATTCAACGTTGCATATAACCAAAAGAAAACAATCGTATGATTTAACAAGATATTATTTCATTCAATCGCTATTTACACGAGTATAATAATATTAATAAATAGTTTAAACCATAATCTAATGTTTTAAATAATAAATTATTGTTATAATATCAACATTATTCACTATCAAACCATTTAATGATGATGTGGAGAAAGTATAGATGTATACCATAGATTAACGATGTATTCCTGGTCATAATATATAGCGATTGCTGCAAGATTTTAATTTCCAAACTGTCAAATATCAGTTAAAATTATTACTGTACTAAATGCATGGTTTAAATGGATATACAACTATGGGAAAAAACGTTAACAATAGGTAAGTTTAATATTATATGTTATTAAAATGTTGTAGACTAGTTGGTTTATTATCGGTATCAAATTCGATTGATATCAAAGTATTTTGAGACAGACGCAGATACGTTGATAATATATTGAGATTTATGGTAATCGGTAATCTGCCAATATGGCATTATGGCCCACTTCACGGAACGACTCGGGAAGACGAGGACGTTCACTTAGTAGTTAATAGGTACTTACTTATAAATAGTTACTTCTGAATAAAGCCAGTAGGGCTGTAACTATGAACTATGAAGCGTATGGTTTGTAATTTCAATATTTTTTTTTAACTTCCATTAATAAATCTAGCTCACATTGAAATATGAATAACACTATTTTATTAATATTTTAAAATAACTTTTTATACTGTTCTCGGAACCCAAATTTGAATTTTACTAGGCATTAACTGACAAGTTATAAGTTGTTACATAATTGACCTATAAGTTTATACTACAACAGTAAATTAGATACTTAGTACTTATAACTACCAGGTAGACGTGTCCAGAACTCATTCGCAGGTCATGCACAAATGCACAATAACAGTGGAATATCCAAAGGAGAAGGAAACTGCAACCCCTCCCAATAAAAAATTCTGTTAGGGTATTGGGATATGAGCCCTGAATTGAAAAATTAAAAATTAAATTTAGATTAAATTTTGCAGATCATGCCTGTGCATGACAGACATATAGACAAGACCCGTGGACACGCCTAAAAGAGCTACCTACTTTATAGTTCAAACTTCAAAGTCCGTGGTCCTGACTCTTAGGCAAGATTTAAGGTACTTTATTTTAGTTTATTACTATAAAATATATAATTACACTAATCCACCTCCGTCAATTATAATTATTTAAGATTAATTTTATATTTTATTCTGACTTTTGAGGCTCAGACGTCCACAAATACGTTTTTAGATGGAATTACATCTGTAATCGTGGATATTATGAGGATGTCATAATTTAGAGTGAATTTTAAACTAACGGAGCTAAACGTGATTTGCTGAGCGTAAAATTTGCTGACTTGCTGTTAGTCCGTTACGCATTGTGAGATAGAGCATCACATGCAGATATAACCTTCTCTTAAATTTATATTCATAATTGTATTGGTATTATATTACAATAATTAAGACGTATGAGGACAATATTAATTTATCTACCACAGCTCGCCAGTAGAACTTACTGTTATAATTACTAACCAATAAATAATAACAACCCTGATCAGTGGTTTTCGACACTTAAAAGTTAAAAGACCTTCGTAATATTATTGGTAATATTCATTATTTAGTATTTTCTATTTTTATAAATTTATAATACTATAGTCTGTGTTGACTAATAACAATTATTAATAAACAAGTACAACCCATTTTAAAATGGCACAATCTTGACTTAATAATTAATAATATTATGTATCATATGTAATTAAGTAATTGTGTTCACTTGTTCAATCTTCTGTAATTTGCACTTGTGTCTTGACGTCGTGTAGACTGTAGTACTGTACTACTGTAATCTTAACTCTTAATCCTGTAGTAGCGTGTATATTATCTTTATTCTATGGTAGGCAGTGTCTGTGTAGCACAGATCATGACACAGATTATATTTATTTTATATCTCACAAATCTGCGGTAGACAGTTATGGCTATAAATTATAATTGATAATTAAGATATTATATTAATTCATAGCCATAAGGTATATGGAGATAACAGCTATTGTTATTAAGAGGACGTGAAACCAGCATGTGCTGTCTCCGTCTTAGAAGTGCGTAACATAGAAATTTTTACGCTCAGCAGAATACTTGTAACTCTGTTCGTTTAAAATTTTAAGTGAATTCACCTCTAATAAAATTTAAAGGTAACAATATTATCAAGGGCTTTTAATATATTTGAATTTTTATTTAAAGCGAGTTATGAGTATTTTAAAATTAAAATTGTTTGCATATCTTAAAATACTCATAACTCGCTTTAAAATTGAAATATAATGAAAAGCCTATGAGAAGCCCTAGATAACAATGTAAAATGTTACCTTTAATTTTTATGACAATTCAATTCACTCTTCACTCCAAATTTCAAACTAACGGAGCTTAACGTGTTATGCAATATGCTGAGAAGTGAGAGTAAAAATACTAAAAATTGCCATGTTACACACTTGTAAAGTTGTAAGACGGAGACAACACATGCGGTTATCACGTCCTCTTAAACATAATACACATACTTACTTATTATAGAAGTCTGTGACATAATAACACCACAGATTCTGTGATAACACCCGTAGAAACTAAAAAATCAAGTGTACAGTCTGTTCTGTTGTACAATATAAATACAACATATTTTCAAATATAATATGATCTGTTACCGCAGTGTAACCAACATCTATCACGGATTATGTCATTATGAACAATTTGAACTTTTTTAACGGTTTTTTTATTAGGGAATTGGTAAGTTCAGTTTACGGATTTGGTCATTGCTCAATAGTCAATGTTYATTCTTATTATTCTTAATTTTTTATCAGTTATTCAGTTGTCATTTTGTCAATACTCATTAGTCATTACTTATTTACTCAATGCTCAAAATTAAATAGTCGGTCATTACGATTAAATTCACCAGCATAAATTATATAATAATATGTATTAACTTGTACTACGCTTGTGTATACGCCTTTATTAGTTAATTTTTTGTCTGTCTCAACTCATAAGTTGACAACCGTTTTGATTTGAAAATTGTTTTCTTTACATCCAACATCAATGCGTAGTAAAGAAACCGTTAAATCATGTTTAATGTTTGATGTGATTTATGAGTTATTCAATAACTGGTCATTTAATTAATATTTATGACATTTTAAATTGAAAATTTTCTGATAACTAAATTTGTCTTGTGCAATGTTGAGGTAGTTGTTAGTTAAATCCTAATAAACCTGATTTATAATATATAATATCAATAATAGCAAACTAACTAATTTTACAAAATAAATCAAAATGAAAAAATCTTCTAAAAGTAAGTATCTAGCTGTTTTACAAAAATAAGTATTTCTAAATTACAAATAATCCATTAATATATTTCTTTAGTGCGTTTAAATACCAAACCAAAACAGATTGAAAAATCAGAAATCAAATTAGCTGATGAAAACTCAAGTAAAATCAAAACATCGATAGAAAATAAGTCAGACAAAGAGAATTATAATTTTTCTGATTCTAGTTTAGAATTATTTGATACATTTAAACCTAGATCAAAAACAAAAATTAATTCTAAACAAAGAATAAATAATAATATTAATGATAATCATATTAATTTTCCCAAAGAATTTGACATAGAGTCAAAAAAATGTATAAATGTTGATGTATCAATTTATAGTATCAGTTCTGGTTCAAATGAGAGTTTCAAATCATTTACAAGTTTACTATCTGACCGCCATATTCAGAATATTAATTTAAAAGAAAATTTATCTTGTTCTGAAGACAGTTTTTCTAAAATTAAATGCAAGGATGAAATTAAAAATAATTATACTACACCGATAAAAAAGCATAGTCAAATCAATCATCTCTCAGAATCTACTAAGCTTTTAGACCGCATCTATGGTAAAAAATGGCGAAGTATTGATGGAGTACTTCGAAATTCAAAAACAAAGAATTTAACTGATGAACTCTATGAAGATAATAATGAGTAAGTAATATATTATAAGTAATTATATTAGTATGGTTTCCTTATATAAAACTATATTTAAAAATTAAATTAATTTATATTTAAATCAAAGATACCTGATTTAAATTTAAACAAGTTTGTACTAGGTATTTTATATAATGTGTATTTATATTATCTATACCATAACTAATAAATTGTTTAGGGGCTATAATGAAAGTTTTTCAAGCACAAATGAAATTAAAAACTGTAAGTAATAATGTTTTTCATTGTCTTGGCTTATGATATTTAAGTATTCTAAACTATATTTATTTTAGTGCCACCTTGTGAATTTTCAAAAAAACATCAAGAATACAGTATTCAAAATAAAGTGGATGATACTTCGATAATTTTAGAGTATGTTTCATTTAAAACTAACTTATATATTTAATACATTGTTATAGAATCAGCTCAAAGAACATCATGTATGTAATTCACAACTCATTAAAAAAAAGTAAATTTTCTAGTTTAAAATTCTTATTTTACCTCCTTTGTAGTTTCCATTGTAGGATTAAATCTTGTTAAAAAATTTGAATGAATAAGATCCGCTAAAATTGTTACTCATTTATATAGTAGATTATGTTATTTAGATATAGTTTGCCATTATTTAAATCAAATTGTAATAGATTTKATTTAAAAATTGAGTTTTATCATTTTAATTTATTGATATATTATGTATTTATTTTTGTAGAAATTTCAGTTTATCTAATGATAAAAATGATATAACTGATCAGTTACATATTATTCATCCTTCTGGAAGTCAAATAAATTATAAGTAAGTTAATAACAAAGCATTATTAAATTTGTAGTTGCAAGTTAATATTCTTATTCTTATGAATTGGCTAAAGGCCCTGGAGCCTTGACTAGCATAAGAAAATTATCAAAATTAAGTCCATTTAAATGTTACAAATAATTGTATTCATAAATACTTAATTCAATCATAATATTATACCATAAAAATAATAATAATTATTAATAATAATAAATAATAATTTAATAAAGATGCAGTGGATCTTCAACAAAATAATGATTTATTTTCTTAGGACTTCAAAATATCATACAAATAAAAACCAACCGCTTAATTCCAAAATTAAGAAAGAAAAAATATTCAAGGAAGATAATGACATAATAAAAAATGATGCTCCCGAAAATCTACAATCTAAAATACCAATTAAATCTAATTTAGAAGCTACACTATCATTTCTGAGTTCTCTATCATGTAAGTATTTTTTCAACATTTGTACCTATCTTAAATTTTAACTATGCGTAATAAATAATTGTGATATTAAAATCAATCTACTGTCTAAGATTAAAAAAATCTGTATTTCATTTTTTTTTTAGTTTAGATAAACAATGTAAATCATGTATCAAACTAAGTTCCTTAGTAGATAGTTTTCTAATATGAAGAAAAAGTTTCTTACTACCAAGAACTAGTTATGTATACTCATTAATTTCATAACATTTCATTTGTGAACATGTACTATTGTAAAAATAATTTGTTATTTGAAATTAAGTTTTAAAATTACTATTCAATTTCTGTTTAGGTTATGAATATATTCAACTTGTACATAAAATGAAATTTACATATTGAATACAATATGTTATACACTAATTTATTTAAAACTGTATACATTTTACTCAACTTTTTACTGAATGATATGAGTTGACTGGTTGACTATTGTAAAAAAAACCACCAAAATCTAACTGGATTATTGATTCTTTTCATATTTTGATTTAGTCTCCTATACATATATATATTTTATTTAGATGATTTTGTTTATTTTTGTTTACCATGTTAACATATTGTATCCCATGAAAATCTTAAATTTTATTAAATGATTGTATACAATATTTCAGGTTTTACTGGATCTATGAAATGTGATCCTGAAGCTCAAAAATATAAACTTAAGTTTAAAAAAAACAAAGATGATTTAGTGTCAATATTATTTAAATTATTCAATAAAGAAGTATTTGACAATAAGGTAAATAAATTTCATTCTAATGATTTGATTAATGATGACTTATAAATACAAACTTAACCATTCCTGTAATTCTGATATTATCATGCTATCTGGATTAAATATGATATTCAATGTGAGGAAAAAATCAACTGTCACATTATTTCCTTCCAAAAGCCCTTATCAAGTGATAAACCATAAAGACACTCATGACAATATTAAAATACTTAAATACCTTAGCCACATGCGGCACATGCCTAACTATCATACTCAGTAAAAATCCAGAATAAAGCCATTAATAATCTTCTCATATGTAACAGTCTAATAGGGATTATGAATGTCTTTTGGGAGATCTTTAAATTGAAAAATTATTTGTTAATTGAACTTTTTTTACTGAAGTACAATTTTTTTTCTCACCTTACTTGTTATTCAAAATGTTTGCGTGAATGTTATAAGTTATTTTACTTTTATTTTAAATTTATGTTATTATTTTATACCTTTTTTTATTAGCTTCCCGCTGATATGAATTTTAAATGGAACGCGCGATTAAGGTCAACTGCTGGTGCATGTTTCAATAAGCGTTCAGTCAAAATAAACTCAAATCTAGAATGCGAGAGAGTTTCTCGCATTGAACTTTCTTCTAAAGTAAATTTTTATTTATTTTATTAATTTTGTTTTTAATAAAAATATGTTAGAAAAAAAACCTGTATAATTCATTAAAATAAATAATATTTTACAGATTATCGATACAGCTGAAAGATTAAGAGATACATTAATTCATGAACTTTGCCATGCCGCTTGTTGGATATTTAATGGTGTTTCTGAAGGACATGGCCCACCATGGAAAAGCTGGKCAAATAAAGCTATGCAAAAGTTTCCTGAACTCCCAATAATAAAAAGATGCCATAGTTATGACATACAAACTAAATTTACCTACAAATGTGTAAAATGTGGTTATAGGTGCGTTATTAAATAATTATTTTTACTTGTGTTTATGTTAGTATATTATTTTATACTTGAAACATAAATATTGTGTTATATGATTCGAGTAGTAATAATAAAGGATTATAGTGATGTGTAGTGATCGTTTGTTGGCATGTGTTTACAAAAAATAATGCACAGAAAAGCTTTTTAAATTATTAGACATTATGTTTATTTAATGTGTAAAAATAATATTTTTAGAATTAAAATTACTACTGTTTTAATACTTATTTTACTGATTTTATTTTTTAACTTACAAAAAGATAAATAAAAATAGTTCTACAGCCATACAAATGATGAGATTCATTGACTCAATTAATTCAACCCTAAGTGCCATGTTCCATGATCATTGTACATAAATATTCTTAAATGTTTACTATGTTTTCACACAATAGTCCTGTGACTGACTAAATAAAATTTTATTATTTATTACAGTTTTGGACGTCATTCAAAATCATTGAATTTGGAGAAAAAAAGATGTGGACATTGTTATGGAGAATTTGAATTAATCAAAAACAAAATTAATAATAACCCAATCCATAATAATAATTTTCCAGTTGTTCATGAAGACCCATTGAAAGAATTATATAGTTTAAATGATGTACAACAAAAACCTAAACTCCCCAAGAAACCATCAAAGTTTGCTTTATTTGTGAAGGAAAATTATAGCCGAGTAAAAAGAGAAAATCCTTTGTTAAAGCATGGTGAAATAATGAAATTACTTGGATCCCAATTTGCAACAACTAAAGAATTGACTCCTGACGAAGTGTTTGATAAATTATTTGATATTTAATAATACTATTAAAAATGAAATTTGACCTTTCCTTTTTGACGAAGACTAAAAATATATTTTTACATTAATATAAATTTAAGTTGAATTTTAATAAAATATATAGTCATATAATACTAGTACTATGTGCATACTACATAAGACATGTACATATGATAAAATATTATAAATATTGTTAAATCAGATACATATAATTAAAAATCAGTCAACTAGTGTGAAAAAACATTGGTATTCCTAAAGTAATTAAGACAATTTATTCAATCTGATAATTTATCACTAATATAAGAAATTGAAATGTGTACAAACAAAATATTTTAACATTAATTAAAAATTAATTTTTATTTATAGTAATAACTGAAATAAGATATTGAATGTGTAATAACAAAATATGATTTAGATTCCACAATAAAATTAGTTTGTGAAATGAACAATATATCACAAAAAAAAAATTCTGTTAGTTTTAATTTCAAAGTTAAAAAAAAAAATTGCAAAAGTGACATTGATTTATCCTAGATCTATATTTGATAATTGGATATTTTGCTGTTCATTTCGTGCTATGAAGTATGATGTGTCGTCTATGCTAACAGGTGTTGGAACAAATGGAGGTACTTCTTTTAAAAGATTATCCCAATCAATGTTTGAAAATAATTCTGTAGAAGATCTTAACTCTGAACCTGAATATCTCTCATTTTGATCTATTGCCATCAAATTATCGATTGCTTCCATTGCTTCTCTAGACAATGTTTGATCTCCAGATGGCCATTCTAGTTCTGAAAAATTGAATATTTATTTTTAAGTCCTGTATAATATGTATAAGAATAACTTTAAAACTTACCACGCCTGAGAATATCTTCAAATATTTCTTGTACGGTTTCACCTTCAAACGGGACAACTCCCGTCATAAATTCATAAAGACAAACACCCAAGGCCCACCAATCAACACCAGATCCTACATCATACATTTATTCAATGAACTAAAATTTATTTCATATAATGATTTTAATTAATAATATAGAATTACCATGCTCTATTCCTTGAATTAATTCTGGAGCTAAATAATAAGGAGTACCTAATATTCTACCATCACTAGCTCTTTTTCCTTTTCTTAAGGATTTTGGAGTTCGATAAGGAGTTAACTTTGGTAAATATGGAGTTGCAATTGGACTCATAATTAATTCTTCCTGTAAACAACAGATATATAATGTAATAAAATGTTAATTTGTATTATTTTAATTTTTACCATATGAGACCCTTTTAAAAAAGATGGTGATTTTGTAGGTGTAGGCAGACAAAATCTTGTAGTTTTAATTGCTTTTGGTGTGTCTCCATGGGAACGTTTACGAGAACATTGTACTGGAGTGGATATGGCTACTCTGCCACTACTCAACCGTTCTTCAGCTCTAAACCAATGTTTTTAGGAAATTGTGTGTTGAATTTTAAAAATAACCTTACTTCAATTTCATAACACTTTTAATAGCTGAGGAGCTTGATGAATTAGATCCAATGCTTGACAAATCCACTTGCTTAATTTGTTGGGTGAGACCACAACTGTTTAATGTATTACCTTCTAAATCTCTAAGAGGTAAAATTCTTCGTCTATATCTTCTTGAAGAATCAGAACCAGATGATTTGAATCTTTTACTTGAAATAAAAGTAATGGTATTTTAGAATTTTTATATTAACCCAACAATAAACATTAAACAATACTTTAAATATGTCAAATTCAAAATTATAATCATTTAACTATAATTTGAATGTTTAGTTAAAGACAGAATTACAATCCCAAAAACCCCAAAACCATCCAACTTTGGGAGACTATATCTCGTCCGAAAAATAAAAATTTAAACGTGAAAATTTATTTAAAAAATAGCCTTATTAATTTATGATATTTTTAACATAGGTTGCCATTTAAAAATCAAAAGTTGATAGTGGTTTACCTAATAAATATAAGGGTGAAAAATATTAAAAATTTATATAGTTTTAGAACAGCATGTATCTAAAATTTTGAAAAAAAAAAAATTTGAAAAAAGTAAATAGTTTTTATAAATAATGAGTGTTTTACGCCTCATGAATCACCCTGTATAAGAAATATATTTTAGTAAGAACGCTATACATTATTATATTAATTCAGTACTGGAAATAGGTTTATAATCAACTGTGCATAACCTCCATTTTTTTTTTCTAACACCTATCACCTACACCAAACACGTTTTAAAAATTAATATAAACTTAAACCAGTCGTATACACCCATATTGATAATAATAATGTTGGTAATTTAAATCTAATGCAGGTTTTTAAGCTTTTGGTATTAATACAGCTCAGTAGCATAGCCAATAATGGTAGAGGGAAATGGACCATGTTTATGTATGTACTCACGTGCTATTTGATATTTAAATTGAATGTTAGCAGTAGTTACATAGCACATACACATAAACAGACTAATATTATTGAACAATTATATTCTTTGTTCAAAATAAGAAATGCCTGCGACAGCAACCAGTTATCGTTTTCCAGCGGTCAGGTAACACCCATTGCCATGGTCCGTACATGTAGTGAGGCCAGACCTATGCGCAGTATGCAGTAGCTGGCAGCTGCAGGCATTTCTTATTTTGAACAGAGTATAGTTAATCAGTAAACATTAAAGCTTGGATCATATATACAGTATATATAGCATATGATATAAGCGTTAAAGTATTAGACAATACATCATCATATCTCAAATGTATCTTTCCTTAACTATACTCATAATTCATTTGAAAAATGTAATTGGTCTCTTCCTCCTTCTATCACCGATAAAAAATCTTGGATGCATCATCAATACACCATATTAATAATTAATTGAAAATTTGAATTTAGAGAAACATAAGTAACACAAAATTTAAACTTTGATGAGACAAAAAAATCTGTAAGTAGGCACCTAAAATTTTTTGTAGAACATGGAGTATCTTGAACTTTATCATTTATACTACATGCACATTCTGTAGAAACACTACAATTTTGACAAGTGTAAAATGTAGTTCCTTCTAATGTATTGTTAGCTGATTGAAATGGTACAATCCCAGACACATGACTACTGTTATAATCATCTTCATCTAAATCCATATTAGGTACCATACTAACACCACTGGCAAAAGTTTTCTCATTGGAACCCTGTATGAAAAGTAAACATTAAAACTATTTATTTTTTTTTAAAGTAAAAAGTAAAAATTAATTATTAATTGTTGTACATTATAAATGTTAATTCAACTTACAAATGAAAAATGTGATGTTAAAGATAGTAATTGCCCAGGGGTTCTAGTAGGAACATTTGGAGAACTATTTATGAAATCTGTTATTTCCAAATCTAAAAATAATTCAAAATTCATAACATTACCTTTTGAAATGTAAATTAATTATCATTATTATTTACCTCGATGAATTGTAATTCGACTAAGACCAAAATCAGTTAATTTAATATGGCCATGACCAGATATTAACATATTATCAGGTTTCAAGTCTCTATGAACAATACCATGACTGAAATATGAATAATAATAATTATATCGATACATAAAAAATGTATTTAAGTGAGTGTTGTTTACCAAAAGATAAATTAAAAAATATTAATTTAGTATTAAAAAATTTTAACTAGAATAAATGGTTTTATAGTTTTATTTAATTACAGTTGTAATTTTACTGTTTTAGTAGTTGGCACAAAATAGTCAAATAAGAAAAAAAATTATAATAATTGATAATTGAAAGTTAGATTTTTAATTTTAAAATAATAATTTATCAACTATCAATAAATTATCTACCTGTGGAGATACTGCAAGGCTAGTGCAACTTCAGCAATATAAAATGTTGCTACATCTTCTGAAAAATAACCCATGACACTTAGCAGTGATTTAACATCACCACCAACCATATACTCCATGACCTTAAATAATAGTATAAAATTAATCTATAAAATATTTAAATACTATAGTTACAAAAGTTAAATGATTTTAAATATTAAGATATTTAAAACAATAAACTTTTAACGGTAATAAATTGTTGAACATTTAATTTGCATATGAAACAGTTAAATAAATTACCAAATAAATACAGCTTGATGTCTGTAATGAGTAAAACAGCTTGACACAAAATGGACTGTTTGCCAATGCCAAAGCATTTCTTTCATTAACAACTGAAATAAATAATAGAATATAATGAAAATATAAAAATATAAATAAATAAGTAATAAGTAAATATTATGAAKTAACCTTGTGTTATCATATTTTTATTTATCATATCAGTTTTTTTCATAACTTTTATAGCATACATTTGTTCCAAATTGTTTTTCTTGTGACCCAAATAAACTTTTCTGAATTAAAAAAAAATTAATTTAAGTTAAATATAAATTAATTAGTTAACTAGTTTAATTTAAATCATTATAATTTAATAATATCTAAATAACTTAATCAATATAACAACAATTAAACTAATATTCTTACACAATATTTTAATAGAATGTATGCAATTTGATTACACTTTATTAGATATACCACTTAATCATTTTGCAAAGGTGAAAAATAATAAAAATAATTTGAATACCTTTAACAATATTATGTAGTTAAGCTAAAAAAAATAATATAAACTCACCCATATGCTCCTCGACTGATTGGTTTAATAACGTTGAAGTCACTTATTTCTGGATGCTAAATTTCAGAAATTTTAAGTTACATTAAAAATATTTAGTTAGATACCTAGTTTGATTCAGTAATATGATATGAACATCACCAATCCGTTTAAATTAATCTATATGTTTTAAACTTTAAATATTCTATTACCTTGGTCTCTTTAGCATTTTTTACAATAGTATTCAATAAAGTTTTTTCATATGGAAATGTATTTTCTTCACTAACATCACTCATTTTAATAAATAACAGCAACCTTATTAAATATTAGCAAATAATATAGATTAATCTATAGTATAAAATAATCATTTAAATTAACGGTCATCAGAATTAACAACTATTCAGTATTCACCAATTAGTGAATCAGTCTGTTGCCGTGTTGTTATGATAATTCTTATCAATTAACTATCTATTTCACGAACCACGGTTAGGTTAGCCCGTCGTAGCATATTCTAGGGCCCATACTATGGTAACACTGATAACTGTAGTTGGTGGTTTAGCACTTTAGCAGGATAGCCCGTCCTACAGTCATAGGCTCATAGCTGCTGTGCTCAATGTGCTCATACTGTTCATAGCAG